TCCAAAACATTACCTTGCTCAAAACTAAACATGTTTTGCAATCGGCTGATGCGATAAAGTGCAGCGTCCGCTTGACCTGCAGACGCATTGAACGCAAACTCAATCATGCTCTGGTTTCTCCCCTATACTAGGACCTCATTTTCGTACGAAATATTTGGGTGCCCCGCTTATTTTTGTTTGAGTATTCGAATAATAACGTCGCTTGTAATTATCAGATGAGAGTAGGTAAACATTGTAATCTTGTTGAAGCAAACAGGTTGTGACCTCGTCGGAACCTTAAACGTATTCAAGGATCGTAAATAAATGGGTCACAAAGGAATCAATAATTCATGAGATTCTCGTTTGAAAATATTTGTAGGATGCGTAGAAACTGTGAGAGTAATCGGGCATAGTGCGCGTTTCCGAACGTATACTTCGTTCGCGATGAATATTGAATGTACGAGGACTGTTAAGAAAATAAGTTATCTTGGTAACATAGAGGCGTAGGTGATTTCTTTTTTTTTAATTTTACCGTAAAAATAAGCTCTATTTAATGCAAAAAGAGCGAATTCTCGAGCGGCTTTTGCCTGACCCCGGGACAATTTGTTTACAACGCCATTTTGCACATCCTACTTTATTTGTTGTAAAGAGCTACAATTTTAATTTTATGAAACCTTTCCTTTTCAATACGTTTCTTTGGATCAATTAGAACCTACATCTACGCTATTAACTTCTAAAATTAACGTTTAGTAATTAAACAATTAGTTGCAAAAAAACGAACGAAATTAACAAATACCTGGCGCAACAATTTCACGGTCAATTGAATCGGCGTTTAGCACACGCGTTGGTCATTGGATTGACTGTCTTTTCCATAAATTTCGTCAACATCCATCACTTTTTACAGTAATAATGCGCAAATTAGTGAAAAAGACTCTAGGTCCCTTAAATTGTAGGTAAACAACATAAAATAACTGATTTTCCGATAGGTCGTCTAGAATAGTCTAGATTTTCGTAGGCAGTAAAAAAAGAGAAAAACACGTAAAGGACCCCACACACCTTATGGAAATTGGTCTTTCGGTGAAATTTCATAAAAAATTGATATGTTGTTCCTTTGTTATTTAAGTTCAAAAAAATCAGACTGTCAAAGTTGACGGCCGATTGTTAAACGAATTAGGTTGGTAACGGCAAAAAAATACTGTCATAACCGGCAATCCGAGTACTTTCCCAGATAAAAATATTTTATTTGTGGAAGTATGTTAAGTGCATAAGAAATATTGTCAAAAGTCAGTGGGTCGCTTGATTTTCGGCGAGCTTTGGCGGGGCGGAAGGGTGGGGGAAGCGAACGACAGCGAGTCCGAAGAAAATGACGATAATATTCATAGTCCTGCCGTTAAA